GAATTCAACAGCATATAAAAAGAATTATTCACCATGATCAAGTGGGATTCATTCTGGGGCTGCAGGCTGGTTCAATATTTGCAAATCAATCAACATGATACATCACATTAATAAAAGAAAAGAACCAGATGATCCTTTCAATCAATGCAGAAAAAGCTTTTGACAAAATCCAGCATCTTTCTTAATAAAAACCCTCAAGAACGTTGGGATAGAAGGAACATACTTAAACATCATAAAAGCCATTTATCAAAAGCCCACAGCTATTATATCATCCTCAATGGGGAAAAACTGAGAGCTTTCCCCCTGAGATCAGGAACACGACAGGGATATCCACTCTCACCGCTGTTGTTTAACATAGTGTTGGAAGTTCTAGCATCAGCAATCAGACAAAAGGAAATCAAAGGCATCCAAATTGGCAAAGATGAAGTCAAGCTTTCGCTTTTTGCAGATGACATGATATTATACATGGAAAACCCGATAGACTCCATCAAAAGTCTGCTAGAACTGCTACATGAATTCAGCAAAGTCGCAGGATACAAAATCAATGTACAGAAATCAGTTGCATTTTTATACACCAATAATGAAGCAACAGAAAGACAAACTGATCCCATTCACAATTGCAACAAGAATCACAGGAGTCCTTTTGTAATGGGTCCTTTCATCCCCTAGGAACTTCCTGCCACTTCCCAGAGTCTCTCCCCTAGCTATAACTGAGACCTTGAGTTCCTTAGAAGATTCTTTCTTCTCACAAATCCACTGATTAGCACATGAAAGATGACTGGGCAGTTCAGAGGATGAGGTCATGGGCGATCAGCCCAGGATCAAGGCCACACTTCTAAAGTCTCCAAGCTTTTTCATCCAAGGATGAGGTTTGGTGAGATTTTGAGAACTAGATGTGGTGTGTGGTTCATAACCTCAATAAAAGGAAAAGATATTCAGAAACTTCTGAGTGTTTAAATATTAACTGAACAAGCTGATCATAGGATAAATAGGGCATGTTGTAGGAGAGATAAATTAGGTAAAAATGGTGGAGAACCTGGAACTTTATTTGTTAATCATTAGGGGCCATTTCAGTGAGAGTAGTGGGGTCATGTATGGGAAATAATTCTTACAGAATAATCAGACTTATCATGGAGAAAAAATAAGATCTGAAAGAACAGCTTGGAGACTTTAGAAGTGTGGCTGTGATCCTAGGCTGGAGGGTGACTGCCAAGCTCCTGGGGTGGGTGGGTGGGCTCTGCTGTAAAGCTGAAGGACCATGGCACAGCAGAGGTCATGACCTCTGACCTTCAGACCACACTGCCCATCTGACTGCAGCCCAGGCCAGGCCTTCACCAGTTGTGTTAGAGCAGGGAGAGCATGTGAATTAGAGCGACAGGTGAGGAGGGTGAGGGGTGCTGCTGGGACCCCGTGCATGTGTGGGGCCTGTGCGCCCCCTCCCCGCACCGTGCAGAGGTTATCCAGGGCTGGGGGAATTAGCAGGAAGAGTGGCCTTAGACGTGATTGAAAGCCTGAGGTTGAATGTTAAATGGGTGACGAAGGTCTAAGTGCCCAGAGGTTTGGAAGCATGTGTGTGGTTACAGGTAGAATTCTTACTGGTGGTTCTATTAATATGCAAGTGGCCTTGGGCTAATGTCACATTTCCTTGTCACAACAGCTTGTAAATTAGCGGCCACTGTCACCACAGTAGTGCTGGTGAGGACCCTGACTGGCCTGGGGCACTCGGGCACGAAAGCGCCTCCAGGGTCAGGCAGCTGGACATGCTGGCCTTCACACAGAGTCACATCGTGCAGAGCCCAGGCTGCTCAGTCAACACCACCCTGCACAGTGGAGCTGGGCCATCCAGGGCACAGGCCAAAGAAGGCAGGTCTGGGCTGGGCTGTCTAGGGCACCGGCCGGGGAAGGCGGGTCTTGGCTGGAATATTCTCATATTCTGTTTATTCCTAATAATGTTCAACATGAAATGCCAATTTCTCCCAGATTGATGTTTTTACTTTTGATGATTAGAACTCTTATTTCAACCATTTCAATAAGCACTAAGACCCAGGGCGAGCACAAAGCGGGTATTTCCATCACCTCCAGAGAGTAGCATAGTTTATGTACTTTTATCATTATTATTTTGGTCAAATGTTTAAGATTTATTTTTAATAACAATCATGTCCATGGAATCATGGCATGAACAGAATCCACATGTTCCAAATGCCATTTTAAATCAACCCCGTCACCAGGAGCAACACCATTGCTGGCTAAGGAGACAGTTTCCTGATATCAGTTTCTCTGTGGCCTCGAAGATGGTTTATGTGCACCTTTTGCAGAGCCTGAGTGCCCAGAAAACAGGAGACACACTCCTTTCAATTTTAAGGCTCTGCAGTAATCCTCTTTGTCATGACAGGGCATCATGCTGGCCCTGTGTCTGCCGTGCTGACCTCTGACTGGGCAGCGTCCACCACAGAGCTGCTCCCACCCTTTGAGGCTGCACAGGGGACAGCTGTGTCCCCCTCTTCCGGGCAGCCCCCGAGCCCTGATTTGTCTTCAGGGTCATTCTTCACTTTTCTTGAAGGAGAAAACACGTTCACAGCCACACTGCCCCATTTCCCAGCCTGTAGAATCCCAGGAGTCTGACAACCTTGCCTTCTTTTTTTCATCTCTGTGCCCGTTGGTCCAATTTATCAGTGTCTCTGCTGGTGTAATCCTGTCTTCTTCTGAGATGAATGAGGATTATCCAAATCTTCAAGTTCTGATTCCTTCACCTCCAGTTTATGTCTCTCCTCTTGCATTTTACTGTTGGAAGCAAGGAGACAGCACCTCACATGTTGGAAGCAGGTGCGTGGCCTTTCTGGCTGGCAAACTCCACGATGCCTAGAGTGGAAGACTCTTCTCACTGCCCCTCCATCCCAGAGCTCGTGATGGGAGGCTACCATGATAGCAGAGGGCCGGTTACAGACACCGTCACAGCAAAGTGCATGTGTATGTGCGTGTGTGTATGTTCAGAAAGTGGCATAGGATTGATTGCCTCCCAATGACACAGAAGTGCAAGCCTCTAAGGCCCTTCTCTCTCCAGAGACAGGAGTCTCCCTGTGATATAGACGGGACGCTGCCTGGGAAGGAGCTCCAGTAATGTGTGAGGAGTGAACTCGCCAACCTCCATCCACCTGCAGGGTGATTGAGCCAAGAGATCACAGCTTATAGGCTGCCCACACGCAGTTTCCCCACTGCCTGTCCCAGAATTCTGATCAAGACTGAACTTTTCATCACAGCCTCCAACAGCTTCTGGATTGACATTCTTCCTGGAAGGTAGGGCTGTTTTTCTCATGTGTGGAAAAAGATAAAGGAAGTTTATTTTAAAAGTCCAGGCCATCCAGAGCTGGTTCCCTTTAGCAGTGAACAGGATGAGGTTTTCATGTGTCTCAACATCCACTATATTTTTAATCATGGAAAATTGACTCTCTCCTTCTCTTTGCAGACATAAATCCCCTCATTGGCATTTTGGTTCACAGAAATGTGAAAAGAGAGTTTCAGTATGGACTCACCTGGGAAAATGTGGGTTATTCTTGGAGCAGAAATACCCCAGGACAAAATCGTGGTGATGTAGCGTTGCATTGGGCCAAGTGGGCCCCCCACGCACTGTGTTTCTTGTAGACCCAGTAGCCCCAAGCTTTCCCTCTTCACAGTTTGGGGGAGGAAACCTAGCAGCTAAATCAAAGTCAATTCTGTACCACACAATTCAGGGTTTTACTTTACCACCAAACCACGTGGTCACAGGGACATATGGTAAACACAGTGACTACTTCCTTTGTTTCAATTAGTTTACTTCCTTTGTTTCAATTCTGGAAGGAGGGTTGAACTCACCCAAAACACAGCAGTTTCACTCAACCAGAGTTCAAACTGCAGCTGGTGATTGCCATGAGTACTGAGGAAAATAAACAACTTATTCTCCTTAAAGTGGATTATATGACGATTGCCTAAGATCAGCTATAATGGCCGAGGGCTCTTAGAAATACAGTTATATTTTCTGGTCAGGATATTGAAGAGAATTTTCATTGGATATTTTTGTTTTTTTATTGTAAGAAACCTGTTTAGGTTTGACCCACAGGTAATCCATCTGCCCAGTCATTTGGAAACGCTAGGACCGAGCATTCAGAGGGACCGATGTTCCTAACTGCACTTCCTAATCTCTGCAGGCTAATAGCATGAAGGACACTGATGCATTTTACACCATTTACTCTATGAAATGTCAGTGGATTGCATTAGATGACTGAATTCAGATGCTCTTGTAGTGAAAGCATATTAAAGCGTGTGGACTTGGGACCCACTGGGGAGAGAGTGTGCTTGTTGGGGACTGTGAATTAGACTTTCCTAGACAGCAATATTCATGAAGACAGTAGACCTATGACTCAAATAGGGAGATCACAGAAGTTTTGCTTAATGCTATTATCAGGTCAGTAATTATTTGCTTCATAGAAACACAATGGATATGAATGATAACCATGTCTCACTGCTCCTGTATAAAAATTCTATGTGTCTCCAACTCTGTGTACCTTCTCTCAGACCCTTGCTCACTACATGGATCTTTCAACTTATCTGTTACATATATTGTCTAGCACATGTCTATCTATATGAACCAATCACCTTTTCCATTTCTCTGCTTTTTCACAGTGTGTGCATTGATGGCCTGTGTATTTTAATCCTCAGGTGGTTTGGTATATAAATCTCAAATCTGGTTCATATATGATTCTAATGTCTCTCCTATGTTTGTATATTTCCTTTCAATGCATTTAGTATTTTCATGACTGAATATATTTGTCTTTCTTTCTGGATAACAGGTCAACCTATTATATTTGTTTGCATAATTTTATCTTTGTCTGTTGTTTCTCTAATTCCAGTGTCCAAATGCTCATTTCACTCACTTTGTTATTTTTCCAGTGGTTATGAGACCTGATTTTCTTCCCGCAGGAATAAAACAGGAATGACAAAGAAAGGTGACTCTCACGTAGGGAGGAATGAGAGGGACAAATTCTAGCAACCCGGCAGGGTTTATCTTGCTGGGCTTCTCTGAGCATCCCCGGCTGGAGAAGGTCCTCCTTGTGGCCATCTCCATCATATATGTACTGACACTGGTGGGGAACACAGCCATCATCCTGGTCTCCTTCTTGAACCCCAAGCTGCACACGCCCATGTACTTCTTCCTGTCGAATCTGTCCTTCCTGGACCTCTGCTTTACAACGAGCATTGTCCCACAGATGCTGGTGAATCTCAGGGGCCCCGAGAAGACCATCAGCTACACGGGCTGTGTGCTCCAGCTCTATGTGGCGCTGGGGCTGGGCTCCACTGAGTGCATCCTCCTGACGGTGATGGCTTATGACCGCTTCAATGCCATCTGCCGCCCCCTGCACTATGGCGTCATCATGCACCCCAGGCTGCTCCGGCAGCTTGCAGCTGTGGCCTGGAGCAGTGGTTTTGTGGAGTCCACGCTTCAGACCATCCTCGTCTTCCAGCTGCCTCTCTGCAACCACCACAGGGTGGATGATTTCATGTGTGAGGAGCCCGCCCTGATTAAAATTGCCTGTGTGAACACCACCTTCCTGGAGAACGAGCTCTCCATAGCCATCGTCCTCTATGTGGTCATACCGCTGGGGCTGATTCTGGTCTCCTACGGCTGCATCGCCAGGAGCGTGCTGAGAATCAGGTCCACGGAAGGCAGGAGGAAAGCGTTTGGGACCTGCGGGTCCCACCTGCTGGTTGTGGTTTTGTTCTTCGGGACTATAATTTCTGTCTACATCCAACCCAAGAGCGAGTACACGCAGAACCACAGTAAATTCCTCACCCTCTTCTATACTGTAGTGACGCCCTCGCTTAATCCTCTCATCTACACGCTGAGAAACAAGGAGGTTAAGTGGGCTCTGAGGAGACTGCTGTGGAGGGACCCACATCAGGGACAACCGTGACACGTACTCAGCCATTCCCCAGGTGCCGAGGACTTACACATCCCGCGTCTAAGGGTCACAGCTTCGGCTCCGCAGTAAAACAGGTGTGACATTTCCTTTCAATGGCGTCCTGAAGTTACTACCCTAAGCCCTTCTTTTCATCCTCCTTTCCCAAACTGTTATGTGTCTTTTTCTGGCTAATTTGTAAAGATGCTGTGTATACATGAACACGTTTAGAGGCAGGAGCGTGTGCACGTGAATCATACTTCCAGGAATCCCGGAGTTATTGCTCTGGTAACGAACTATCGCCATGAGCAGACAGAAGGCAGCTCCAGCTCGCGCTGGTCACGGCTGCCAGGTGGGTCTAGCTGAGGACAGGGCTCTGCAGGGGGGGCTGCGTCTGCAGCTCGCCGGCCGGTTAGGGCCCTGCACACCCACAGCTGCCTGACGGTTTGTCTTATCAGGGGTTGTTGATTCTCACATATTCAGCAGGGCGTCTGGGGTTCCATGCACCCGGGACCATTCTGATCTCTCCCAGCCACAGAGAAAGTCTCCAAGGAGAACGACCAACGTGACTGTTTCTCTACTACACGTTACCACAGTGTGGTAACTCTTGTTACCACAGAGCAGCCCCCAATCTCTCAATTGACCCCTTAGTGCTATACCTGAATTGAGGGCAAATAAACACAATTTGAAGTATTGTCATTAAGTGTGAATATTTAAATCTCCCAAAAGTAGGCAGATTTATTTATAAATAAAAGTGTTTATCTTTGCCATTATAACATTCCCTTTCACAGATATTGTAATTTCATAGAATTTATAAAATTTTTTTCTTCATATTGACTATGAAGTTTTTATCTGTTCTGAAAGCACAGCTAAAAATCTGGGTAATTTTTAAAGTGTGAAAATATTGGCCATGCTTTCCCTATATTCATAATAGTTATCGATTTATAAAATATTATCAAAATCCTTATTGGCTTTAATTCTAGAGACTACTTCAACATACTTACAATGTGTTATTGTTTTATAAATGTGGTTTTATAAAAAAAAAATAAATGCTTTTAACAGGGGTTAATCCTAAGCAATTATTTTAATACAGATAAGTAACTCTAGCTGAATATGGTAAGTTGAATGGAATGATTTAAAAAAAAAAGACCTCATTGGAGGAAAAGAAACATGATCTACTAAGAAGACATTGATAAGGTGCCTTAGGTGTTGTTTATAAAAACTAGTGCTTCTATTTCTCTGTTTATATGATAGAATTTGATTGACATTTGATGGAAATTGGGTTAATTGTGGTCAGAGTTAAATAAAATATTTTTATAGATGGATTAGGACAGCCAAATACCTAATCAGCAGTATGATTACCCAAATCATTTAAAATGTTATAATTTCGGGGCGCCTGGATGGCTCAGTCGGTTAAGCGTCCGGCTTCAGCTCAGGTCACGATCTCGCGGTCCGTGAGTTCGAGCCCCGCGTCAGCTCTGGGCTGATGGCTCAGAGCCTGGAGCCTGCTTCCGGTTCTGTGTCTCCCTCCCTCTCTGCCCCTTCCCCGTTCATGCTCTGTCACTCTCTGTCTCAAAAATAAACATTAAAAAAAAAAATTAAAAAAAATAAAATGTTATAATTTCAAATAGACAATAAATGAAAGCACTAATAAAAATGGTATCCTTATGTCCCCAATAAGATTAAAAAATTTAATATTTTCTATATATTTTCTACATTTTTAGCAGTCATACCTAGAGGTATCCATGATTATCAGTTTGTGTACATTTATCCAAAAACATTTAAAAATACTTTAAAGTAAAAATATATAGATATTAATGGTTTTAAATTTACATGAATAATATTAAACTACATGTATCACTTACACTAGTTTAAGAACTAGTTACAAAGATATTCAGATTATTTAATTGTATGCATGTATCTCATTTTATTAAGAATATTTATATTGTTTCAAGTTTTTTACTCTTTCCAACCATGCTGCAATAAACGTTCTTGTGTGTAGATGCCAGCTTTTACCTACTTTTGTGGGAATGATTCTGTGTGGTCAGTAACTACATGTGGAAACCTTCAGGTAAAGGAGATGCCCATTAGAAACTACAGAAATCCGCTGATATGGCAAAGATTTCCTCAGGGAACCATATTGATTCACAACCCCACCTTGACTGTATGAGAACCTCATTGCTTATCCTCCATTCAACCCACGATGTAGCCAGATTTGAACGCCAGAAACTGTGCCCAGCTAAAATGCTGCAAGTACCCATTGTTTCTGCATGCAACTGTTGGGAAGATTGCATTGTTTTTCTCCTATTATAATCTATTACATACTTCCTGTGTCAATAGATTTTCTACCTTGAAATAATATCTGTGTTCCTGGAATAAGCTGGCTTTGTCTGTGATATATTGTTTTTAGAATATTCCTTCTATATTCAAAATGTCTTTTGAGAATTTTTATAAAAATTATGTAAAATGTAAAACTGTATTTGAGTTTATAATGGAGATTGGCCAATAATATCATTTTCTTATGTCACCTGTGTTCTGTTTATGCATAAAAATTTTACTAGTCTCATAAAATCAGTGGGGCAACTTTCTATTTCTTATTAAATTTGGAAGAGATTAAATAAGCCTGGAATAATGCTTCTTTGAGTTTTCTAGAAGTCACACAGAACAGATCCAGCCTTGTGATGCTGAGGGTACACTGTTGGACATTAGTAATCCTGAGCTCATTAAAAAAAATATACGGTTCTATTCAGGCTTTTTCCTTCCTGGGAATTTTGACAATTTATGTTTTTCTGTAGAAAATTATTCATTACATTTAGATTTTTAAGTTATCGGCTCAACATTCTTCCTGAAATGATGTGTTGTGGCATTAAATCCGTTTTATACTGTGTCATTTTTTATCTTAATGATACTTACTCATGTAAGTAGCCAGAGGTTTACCATTTTATTAGTTTTATCAAAGAACCAGCTTATTATTTTATTGGTCAAATCTATTTAATTGTTGTATTAGTGTTCTACTTCATTCATTTCTCCTTTTATCTTTATTATCTCCTTTATTCTATTTTCTTTGGGTTTATTTTGTTGTTCTCCCCTTAATTTGGTATTTTGAATGTTTAGCCTCTGTTCTTCCAATTTACCAATAAATGCATTTAAATCCATAAATTCTCTTTGAGTACTGCTGCAATACACACGTTTCTATACATATTTTGAAATTTAGCTATAAATGCCTTTTAATTTTAATTTTTATTTCTTCTGTAACTTGAATTTATTTAGGAATGTGGTTTTTGGACTCTAAACTCATGGGATGTTGACTATGATTTTGTTAATGCTATCTATTTTATTTTTTTGACTATCACTTTGTTATTGATTTCTTATTTTACTATATGGCATCAGTAAATATAACCTGAGAAAAATCCTTTAGAATCATTGGTTTGTCATTTTCACCTGGTAGCTCTGAAAGATTTGGCTCTATCTTAAGGCTTGTTGTTTTAACTTAATAGCATAAATGGGAAATCACTCAAAATCGTTTCATGGGGAAAACAAATTGGTAAAAATAATAACTTAATTCAGCCTATGACAGATCAAAGATGTATCTTGTAATGTCTAAGCCACTAAAAGAATAAGACTTTAATGTAATGCCAACAAGCTTGAAGGTGAGGCAAGTGTTCTAATAAAACTATTTGATTAATTATAAAAACATAAACGCAGTAGAAGAAAAGGCAAGCAATAAATTGGACGAATAGAAGCTGCATAGAAAAATAGTAGCCACCAACTCCAGCAATTATATAAATTATATTATTTAAATTATGGGTATGAATTATATAAATTTGTATATAAAGTACATTATATAAACTATATGTATAAATTATATAAATGTAAATGGCCCAAACTGTCCAAATAAATAAAAATATTTTCAGAGTACTGTTTTTTAATTTTTTTTTTTAAGTAGGCTCCATGCCCAACGTGGGGCTTGAACTCATGACCCTGAGGTCAAGAGTCAGATGGTCCACCCACTGAGCCAGCCAAATGCCCCCAGAGTGCATTTTTTTTAGAGACTAAGATAAAAACTACATATAAGATGCAGGGTAAAGGTTAAAAAAAAGACATACCCTGTGACGGTAGACAGTAGGAAGTTGAAACATGCTAATATCACATGACAGAAACTTTAAGGGAAGAGTGATTACCAGTAATAAGGAAGGGCTTTTGATCATGCTAAAATATTTAATCAGCCTGGAAATTATAACACTCCAAGATTCATATACCTCCTGCAACATAGCTTCAAGGTATGAAGCCAAATCGGACAAGTAGCAAAGGAATGAGAGAAATCCACAGTGGAGTTGGGTGAATCACTGGTAGAAAGACACACAAACATGAGTGATACACAGGGAATATAGTTAACACAACAAAAATCACCTCAGACGTGCAGAGGGGACACTCAAGCCAATGAGTTTATACGAGCGTTTTTGAAGCATACACAGAACATTCACAACATGTTGACCAAATATTGAATAATACAAGTCTGAACACATTCCACAAGTTTAAAAGCACATGAGCATTTATTTTGAGAAATATGAAATCAAGATAGAAATCAGTAACACATACTGGACAAAGGGTTACTGTTTTTCACATATGAACATTTCAAACATAGTACACGGAGGTAGGAGAGGATAAGATAACCCACCAACATCCAAGTCAACATTAGCAATTATCAACATCACGCCAATTTTGTTTCAAATATTTCCTCCCACAGTTTTTGTTTTTTTCATTTTGTTTTGCTGTAGTTTTTAAAAGTAAATCTCAGGCATTGTATCATTGCAAACATTAATAATATAGAAAGAAAACGAACAGTATTTGCTTACCATAATCCATCAGCCCATGTTCAGATTTTCTTAAATGGTTTTGTCTTTGGTTTGTTCCAATCAGGATCCAAAAAACTTCCACCCCTTGCATTTTGTTGGTGTTTCTCATGTACGGACGTTTCCGGCGGAGGGCAGGTACCTGGCATCTGCAAACACTGAACTCTGCAGGTACGGCCCCTGAACCGCGTGTTGGTGAGGGGGCTGGGGGGTCTCCACTGAGCCTCATGTACACAAATAGGCAGTAGGCAGATTTGGCCCAATGTTTAGAGTTTGCAAACCGACCTGTGGTTTGCATTCTGCAAGGAGACAGGTTAACCTAGAAGAGGTGATGGCATGCTCTGATTTTGTAACTTGGTATAGACAATAACTCCAAGAGTGAGACAATTAATAAATTCCTTTTCAAACTGTCTCTCTGCCTAGATTTCCTTGTCATTAAGCCCTGGGCTACCTGTCTTATCTTCTGCTGGTTCGTCTTTTATTGAATGAGATAAACTGTAGCTCATTCTAAAAATCTATTTGAGAATTTTGCTCTCAGAACATGCTGCTGACTGTGTTTTTATGTAAATAGGAGGTAAACAATTTATGTGTGTGATTTAAAGATAACAAGCATAGGTGTTTGGGAATCTCTCTTTCTCTCTCTTTTTTTTGTCTTTTTATTTAAATTTTAGTTAACATACAGTGCAATATTAACTTCAGGAGTAGAATTCAGTGATTCCTCACTTACATACAACACCCAGTGCTCATCCCAGCAAGTGCCCTCCTTAG